AGGGCCGAGGTCGACAGCTGGACTCTTCTCCTCTGTGGTTCTGCGGAGTTTCCAAACTCTGTTCAATCTGCTGACTCCCTCTCAGTCTTTAACAAAAGACTAAAGACCAGCTCTTCACTGAACACCTGTGCACTTGACAGCCCAACAACAAGCAAACAAACAAACAAATAAATGAATAAATAAATAAATGTCCTATTACCTCCCACACAGCCTGCTATTCGCATCAACGCCCTATCACACTCGAACTTGCTCTCTGGCACTTATCCAGACAGTTTTCTATTGACTAGATCTTTGCTTGTGTTGCATCCGCTATCAGATGTACGTCGCTTTGGATAAAAGCGTCTGCTGAATGAAATAGTAGAATGTACAGGTACCTTTTTGACAGCATTGGTAACACTTGCGTTTTTTTAAAATCAATTTTTGTACGAAACTAAATATTTAAAGATATCCAACTTTAATTTTTCGCATTTTCATTTTTTGCCTTTCACACAAGACATTCCTGAGTCCTCTCTTCTTCTAGCCATGGTCGTGCTGTTCCCACAGAGGTGCAGGACTTTATATCAATGTGAAAATGAGCCCACAGCGAGTAAAAAATGTGACACAGAGCAAAAAAAAAATGCCCAGAAACCGCTTGAGGTTTCGAGGGTCATAGTACCAGAGTTTGTCAAAGGTAAGGGCACTATTGTTTTCCTCTAGTTACTGTTCAACAAGTGTGATGAGAATAACGCTGACCTTTGCATGACAGGGAGGTGCCACTAGCAGAGCCACTAGTCATAATATACCTATGTTTTAAGAACACAGTGTCTAATTAAGGTTTTAAGAGTACAAACTGCTAGCATATGAAAAAAAACAAAACGTGATTTTTATACAGGTGTGATTGTAAGGGTGTGTTATTATGAGGTGGCTAAAAAAAAAGCTGTAAAATAATAACCTCTGGAATCATTGGTAATGTTTAACCAACTGCCTCACAGTTCAACAGGTCTATTTACTTCCCACAAACACTTCCACGAGCTTTAAAATGACTCAGCCACAAGCAAAGCAGCACCAAATCAGAATCAGAAAGAGATTTATTGGCAGGTATAGTTTACACGCAGCTGTTGGCTGCAAGAGTGAAAACAACACTCCATGCACTCCCCAGCATCTGAGGAACTGAACACCCAGCTCATTCATGTTCAAACTGATGTCACCACAGCATTCTTTTGTTTAATGTGACTAACGTTACCTTTAGTTTTGGCTGTATGCCCACATTCAGAGCTCTGTGTAAACTGTAAAGCTAAAGGACATCCAGAGATAGTGGAAACCAGTTTGAAACCAATAAACAAGGACTGGGTGGGCTACTGCGTTTTCATGTCACCTCTTGTGCTTCAATGCAACTTAAACTCAGACAGCTTCTATTGTTAGCTGCTGTCCTGTTTTCTGTGCTCTACATTTACAATACAGCTGAATTCCACATAAAACTTTGCTCATTCATGTATTTTTTGGTTTCTGTTGTCAGACAGCTGAACAAGTATTAAATAACGCAGCCCATTAAGTCTCCATGTCAACCAGCAGTCACTTCAGTCGTCTTAAGCTGCTGATCTGCAGCTACAATACTGATTGTATAATAATGTCATTTGACAAACTCACCAAACACGAGTTAAAAGCAATATAAAGTCCTGGTCTCACACAGTCATCACATATGCAGAGTCTTCTTCCTGAGGAGGGTGTGGACTGCAGCAGTTCAGCTGAATTTAAAGCCACAGCCACTAAAACGGTCCGTTTATATATATATATGGGGCTTTTTTGCCTTTTTATTTATATCAGTAGAGAGGGACAGAAAAGGGGGGAGAAGAATGGTAAATGGTAAATGGTCACTTATATGGCGCTTTTATCCAAAGCACTTTACAATGTGTTTCTCATTCATCCATTCACACACACTGTAGGAGACATACAGGTTGCAGATGAGGAGCACGGTGTGTGTGTGTGTTGCAGAGGCGGTGCTTCATGTGGGAGGAGGCATGTACACGTGCCAAAGTGTTTGTGTAAAGGTGTGCACTCACCTGTGACACAGAGGAGAGAGTCAGGGTTGGTTAGTAGCTGTAATGTTTGTTGACTTCTCCCCACTCATCACTTTTTTATCTATTCAATCTGCTGGTTTTCATTTTTCCATCCGTCCATCTTTGCTGCGCTGTGATAGCTCTGTGCTGTTTCTCATAATAAATGCACCAAAAGCATCTTTGGATCTCAGCGTATCTGTCATCATGGCCTCCTCGCGCGTCACAAATCTGCGACCCTGAGGACCCAACCTCATACTCTCAGCAGCTAAAAGGTTTGCTTTGGACGCCGCAACACGCACATTCATACACCAATGGCGACAGAGCTGCCATGTAAGGTGCTGCCTGCCATTGGGAGCAACTTCGGGTTCAGTGTCTTGCCCAAGGACACATCGACTGTGGAGGGGCGGGGGATCGAACCGCCAGCCTTGTGATTGGAGGACAACCCGCTCTACCACCTGAGCCACAGCTGCCCCAGAATGGGAATAGACTTGCAGTAAAGGAGTCGAACCCACGACTGCTGCATCGGGGAACCATAGCCCCTGTTCATGGGTCGCCCGCTCAGCTGGGTGAGCTACAGGGGCGCTCAAACAGTCTGTTTTAAAGAGGACTGAAACCATGAGTTACACAGTCATGGAGAAATGAAGCATCTTTGCTTGATTTTCAGTTGAAAATCTGAAAGAAACACTCTGGAGATGTGAGAATTTCGTTAACTTGCTGATAAGGGGCATAATATGGAACCTTTAACAGAGAGTTTGTTACTAGTGCAACTACTTTGCACTATATTATAATAATATTAATAATTGATCAGATTTATATAGCGCTTTTCTGGGCACTCAAAGACGCTTTACACTGTCAATTATTCATTCACACATATCCATTCCGGTGGTGGTAGCTACGATTGTAGACAGACAGAGGCATGGCTGCCATTCTGCCCCTCTGACCACCACCTCAAACAATCCATTCATACGCATTCACACCAGGCATAATGGGTGAAGTGTCTTGCCCAAGGACACAACCACCATGACAGGGCGGAATGGAACTGCCGACCTTTCGATCATTGACTGACTCGCGCAACCACCTGAGCCACAGCTGCTATAATCCACCTGTTACATTTTATAGCATGCTAGTAAATGGAAGTGTAAAGTGTCACAAAGTGTACACAGTATACAAGAAAGTGTTTGCAGGGATTTACATAATACCGCCACATAATCGTGTGTTTACCTATAGCCGAGATTGCCGCCTGTGCAGTGTCAGCGTTGACGTCCGTGCAGTATCCCTTCAGCTCATCCAGTAACATCGCTACATTCTCGTCATTTACCAGCTCCACCAGCACCTGCAAACACAAAAGCACAAGAAGAAGTCCGGTCAAACACTGGATTGCTGCTGCTGCTGCTACTGGGCAATAACTACAGAGGCAGTGATTTAGCACAGTGCGTCTATAAACTTCGGGGATACACGCGTGACTGAAAAAGGAACTATCGGATGCCAACATATGTGTTTGATCTATGATATGTGTTAACGCCACAAGTTGATTGATGTCGTAGAAGTCAATAAATCAGTTAATGTCACCACTTTGTTGGTACATTAACTGAGCAAGAAACTACTTTGGTGCAACCGGGGAGAGAATAGGGGCTAACATGGGGTAACAGTGTCACTGTGGCACCAAATCGATGCCAAAATTTTGAAAAATAAAGTCACTCATACAGAGACATTAAGTGTTTGAGTAAATGACCAGAAACCTCCATGTATACAGTGTCAACAAGCACCCCGAGCGAAATGGAAGAGACACTTTAAAGTTAGTTTTTTGGCCTTTTTTATTGCCTTTGTTGGATAGGACAGTCAAAAGAGAGACAGGAAAGTATGGGAGGAGAATGGGGGAAGGGGTTGCAGCAAAGGGCCATGAACGGGATTCGAACCCATGGCCACTGCATCGGGGACTAAAGCCCCTGTACATGGGTCGCCAGCTCAACCAGGTGAGCTGTCGCAGCGGCCGAGGAAACATTTCAAATGTGTCTGGACAGACATCCAGAAACGTGCACAAAGTTCAACTTTCAGCTGTTAACTTTAGATTTTCTGTGGCAACCCTAATTTGAGGAACTGCCACTCAAATCTTTGCAGATGATGTGTTTCTGTTGGTTCAGGTGGTACTTGGGAGGTTTGTGGCAAGTGTGAAGCAGTTGGGATAAAAGTCAAGATCCCCAAGTTTGAGGACAAGATTCTCTGCTGGAAAGGTAGAAATTGCTCCTGCGTCGTTTGCTGCTCTAAGTGTAACTTTTGGCACCTTTATTGGAGGTTTTTCAAGGATTTTTAGCTGGTAATGAACCAAAACATGCAGGAGTGGGAACACAAGAGGAGATGGAAAATGTTGCAGGACTGCTTTGTTTAACCTGCTGCCAGCATTCTACAACCTTTGATAAGAGGCAGGAAATGATAACAGACTATCAATCCATTATCTATACACCACTTAATCCTCACTGGAGCCTATCCCAGCTGACTCAGGGTGAAGGCAGGTTCACCTGGACAGGTAACCAGTCTATCACAGGGCTACACTTAGAGACAGACAACCAAGCACACTCACATTCACACCTACGGACAATTTAGAATCACCAATTAACCTCAGTATGTTTTTCGACTGTGTGAGGAAGCCGGAGAACCTGAAGAAAACCCACGCTGCACGGGGAGAACATGGAGACTCCACGCAGAAAGATCCCGGGTGTCCTCACTGGGATGTGAACTGGGGACCTTCTAGCTGCGAGGCGATGGTGCTAACCACCGAGCCACCTTGCAGATGAATAACGAATAATAAAAACTTAAAGTGTAGTGACAGCCAAAGAGAGTGTTCGATGGAAAATAACAACTTTGCAAAACTCACCAGGAGAAAACTGTTTCTTTGAAGTCAAACTAGTCCATGTTTCCTGGCTCCAATTGTTCAAAAGTCTTGACCCCGTGCCAAGATGTATTTGAATACGCTATCAGGGTGATTTCCCTGTCTTACCTAAAGCCACAAACTGAACTACACAATCAGTTTGTACAGACTATGATAAGTCAACTGACGTTTATGTATGTAAATTTGCAAATGTTGCAGACAGACACAGAAGTTTTCATAGTTACAAAATGTAAAAACAGGAAGAATCACCAGGTTTTCTTTTTAACTTTCTGATAGTCCTTGAACTAAAGTCAAGCTATTTATAATGTTTTAACTTGAAATCGCACGCTGAACATACGTCACAGTTTGTACCAGATTCTCTAAAAAATAAAAGAACACTGTCTAACCACAAAACCCACCAGCGGGTTTAAACGGTGGGCTATCTTTTGAAAAATTGCTAAAATTCAACAATTTATCAGAACGAGAAACTAAAAACAGAAGCGATTGGCTAATTTTTGAATCTCAGACAGTTTTTGAACTTATCACGACTGGCTGTAACTACATTCTGTAAAAACAAACAAAAAAATGTGGCCTCCTCAGACTAACAGTAAAGCCAGTCGCTCAGGTACAACCAACAGTCATACGTTGAAAATTTCGGGACTTTTCAGATGAAATGCAGGCTGTGTTTATACAGAGCAGATATGGAAGATATGAATATACAGTCAAACATCTTTACTATACAGAGTTGTAGTTTTTTCCACTATTTGCACCTGGAAAATGATGCACATGCTAATTACAAGTTTAAAAAAAAAAAAAAAAAATTTTACAGAGGAATTCAACTTTGGTCTTCTCATTTTTTTTTTTTTGCAACGCTGAATAAAACTGGTCTGACCTGCATCTTCCGTTGCTTGATGTATGCTGGCTCAGCGTAGCCACAGAAGAAGCGTTTGTAGTGCGCCCCCATCAGGCCGGGGATAGAACGCAGCAGCAGCTACAAAAAGACAAAAGCACATTTTCATTTCTCAAAATGTATCCGTGCATATGTTTCATGTGAGATCTCCACTGACCACGAAACTAATTAACTAAATAAAGGTGCAGAAAATAATAGACTTTAGCACACACATGCAAGGCTTTCTCATGTAGCTAAGGCAAGTCAGATGAACAATTATAATAAATAGAAGAATTATTCCATATAACAGCAGGTGTTTCTGGGCTACAAGAATGCAGGAGATGGAATAGATAGTAGGTACAAATGTTGGGGATTGAAAGTTCTGAGCTGTTTTGAGTTAGCTGCTGGAAAAATCCTCTGATCTGGGAATATTTTTTGAGGCAATCGGAACCTGTTTTCCATTGCGTTTCAATTATAAGTACGGTAACTCACAGTAGATATATACACCGTATATGTGCTGCATATACGTCATAGAAATAATACTGTTTATACTGTTGATTTTGTTTATACTGTCTAAACCATTTATACTGTCTAAACCATTTATACTATTTATCCTGCTGCTATTTATCTCTACCTGTAAATGTAGATCGTCTGTTTTAAACTGTATCCACGTCTATATACAGTCGTGACTCGATAATCCGACACTAAATGTAAAACCTTCTTTTATGTCGGATA